CCCCCCCCCGCCCCCGCGGCGAAGCCACTGCTGGCTGGCTGGTTCCCATGGAGAATTCCTCGCATGCCAGAGCTGCAGAGCAGGGAGTGGGGCTGACTAACCGGTCAGGCCGGTTTCGCTGGAGCAGCTTCTCAGGTGCTCTGGTCCCCAGTGGGCGGGGAGTTGGCCTCCCGGCTCCTGTTCACCGTGTCCCCCTCGCTCCTCCCACAGGTGAAAGCCAACGACTCGGATCAGGGCGCCAATGCGGAGATCGACTACTCCTTCCACCAGGCCTCGGACGTGGTGCGTCGCCTGCTGCGTCTGGACAGGGCCACGGGCCTCATCACCGTGCAGGGGCCCATTGACCGGGAGGATGTCAACATCCTCAAGTTCTCCGTCTTGGCCAAGGACAAGGGGGCCAACCCCAAGAGCGCCCGCACCCAGGTGGTGGTGACCATCAAGGACATGAATGACAATGCCCCCTCCATCGAGATCCGGGGCATTGGCCTGGTCACCCATCAGGATGGCATGGCCAACATCTCCGAGGATGTGCCCGTGGAGACGGCTGTGGCGCTGGTTCAGGTGTCTGACCGGGACGAGGGCGAAAATGCGGTGGTCACCTGTGTGGTGGCTGGCGACGTCCCGTTCCAGCTGAGGCAGGCCAGCGAAACGGGCAGCGATAGCAAGAAGAAGTACTTCCTGCAGACCACCACGCCGCTGGACTACGAGGCGGTGAAGGAGTACACCATTGAGATTGTGGCCGTGGACTCGGGGAACCCGCCCCTCTCCAGCACCAACTCCCTCAAGGTGCAGGTGGTGGATGTGAACGACAACGCCCCGGTCTTCAGCCAGAGCCTCACCGAGGTGGCCTTCCCTGAGAACAACGCTCCCGATGACCTGGTGGTGGAGGTGAGCGCCAGTGACGCGGACAGCGGCTCCAATGCCAAGCTGGTTTACTCCCTGGTGGTGGACCCCTCCTCCAAGGGCTTCTTCTCCATCGACCCCGAGTCGGGCGAGATCCGCGTGAAGACGGTGCTGGACCGGGAGCAGAGGGAGCGCTACGAGTTCCTGGTGGTGTCTCAAGGGCACCGCCTCTGTGGCCATCAACGTCATGGACAGGAACGACAACGACCCCAAGTTTATGCTGAGCAGCTACAACTTCTCGGTGATGGAGAACATGCCGCCTCTGAGCCCGGTGGGCATGGTGACGGTGATTGACGCCGACAAGGGGGACAACGCCCGCATTCAGCTGTCGGTGGAGCAGGACAACGGGGACTTTGTCATCCAGAATGGCACCGGCACCATCCTCTCCAGCATCTCCTTTGACCGGGAGCAGCAGAGCACCTACACCTTTCGGCTCAAGGCGGTGGATGGCGGGGACCCTCCCAGATCCGCCTACGTGGGGGTGACTATCAACGTGCTGGATGAGAATGACAACGCCCCCTTCATCACCTCCCCTTCCAACGCCTCCTACAAGCACCTTCTGCCCCACACCAGCCCTGGGCAGCAGGTCAGCAGGGTCCAGCCGAGCTGTCCTACAGCATCACGGGGGGCAACCCCTTTGAGCTGTTCCAGATATCGCCGCAGAGCGGGGACATCACGCTGGAGAAGGAGATCCTGCGCAAGCACCACGGTCTGCACCGCTTGGTGGTGCGAGTCAACGACCGGGGCAAGCCCTCGCGCCACGGCACCGCGCTGGTGCACTTCTACGTCAACGAGACCCTGGCCAATCGCACGCTGCTGGAGACCCTGCTGGGGCACAGCCTGGACACGCCCTTGGACATTGACATCGCCGGCGACCCCGAGTACGAGCGCAGCAAGCAGCGCAGCAACATCCTCTTCGGCGTCATCGCCGGCATCGTGGCCGTCACCCTGGTCATCGTGCTGGTGGTGCTGGTGCGCTACCAGGCCGGAAAGAAGGAGACCAAGGACCTGTATGCCCCCAAGCAGGGCAGCAAAGGCGGCAAGGGCAAGGGCAAGGGCAAGAAGAGCAAGTCTCCCCCAGGTGGTGCAGGACCTGCCTGCTGCTAACACCTTTGTGGGCACGGGGGACAGCAACTCCACGGGCTCGGAGCAGTACTCGGACTACAGCTACCGCACCAACCCCCCGAAATACACCAACAAGCAGGTAGGAGAGCTCGTCCTGAGCCCGCCGGACGCCCCCCATCTGCACCGGGGCCAGGTGGTGCAGGACCTGCCTGCTGCTAACACCTTTGTGGGCACGGGGGACAGCAACTCCACGGGCTCGGAGCAGTACTCGGACTACAGCTACCGCACCAACCCCCCGAAATACACCAACAAGCAGGTAGGAGAGCTCGTCCTGAGCCCGCCGGACGCCCCCCATCTGCACCGGGGCGCCATCTGGACAGAGGTGTGGGAGTGAGCATGGACCCAGCCGGGCCTGGGGGGCTGGCCGAGGACTCATGGAGCAGCTAGCCTGGCTGGATCCTGGGCAGGGCGGCCGAGG